ACCGCTTATTTTAGTTTCTTGATCTATCAATATTGCAGACCCTTTGGTCATCGCATTGATTATGAAGTTTGTTTTTTTGTGAGACCTTTGTTAAATGCACGTTAGTTTTGCAAGACAGCAGAAAAATTTCATCTTTTATAGGTTATGTCTCGATCATCATTTTTTCACGTAAAGTAGAAAAGATGCGAGAACGATTTTTTCAACTTGACAGTAAATGTAATTAGGTATTAGCATTTCCTTGTTACTAATAGCATGTATTCTTGCGTGATCGAAGACAATTATGCAAATCATGGCTGGTAATCGCATTGACCCACGAAGTTTAAAAATAAGGTTGGTATTTTTATGAGCATTATGTCCGAAATGTTTATTTTTAGTGAAGTTCATCATCAACAAAAAATATTTAACATTAAAACGTGTTTCTAGTCTATGAGGTAAAAATTAGGTTACGGATGCTAAATGAGATATGCGCTGATTGAATAACTACGAACCGATTTTGTATAAGTAAGTTTCACCGGTATTTAAATCACAATAATATCCTTCATAATCGTCATCAGAAAAACCACAGAACCCATCATCACCCTTAAATGCATTGGCAACATCCTCACTCTGTGAACCATCTTCGTCATTATTATAGACATCTTTAAAATCGCATCATAACCGGAATCTCGATCATTACTTGCATCCAATAAAGATTTTTCGAGTCCTATGGGGCGCTCTTCGAGCGTCTCCTCACGTACAGTATCTCAACCTCTGGTAAAGATTTAGATGTAATAGCATTTTTATTATATAAAACTTCACTTTTTTTCATCAACATCAGAAGAATTGTCGGTGAATTCTATCAGGCTTCTTGGCGAAGCGATCTATAATCGTTGTATTGAATCTTGTCCATTCCTATTCTTTCGAATAGCTGTCTGACAATAAAGTCGTATACCTGACCTTTCACCTTCTTTTCCCCAACTTTATTGCTGACCATAAAATCTCTATACATGCTTTTAAATTCTCTAGCATAGAAACACCAACATAACGTTTCTTCTCTATTGGCTTCGATTGCACTTATTTCCGCATCACATGCGTTTTTATGTAGACTAATGATATCTCTATTATCTGGTGGTAAGTGGGACATGGCTAGAATAGATGGAGTTATTGAAGTCTCATTATTTGGGCAAACCAAGTTCGCTGAAATTTCAGTCACACGTCTTTCTTCCTTGGATGAAATCATTTCTCGAATCAAGCCCTGTTCGTTTTTCCGCTCATGGGAAGTAGATGCGGTATTCTAGGAAATCGAGAGTGCCTCCTGGTTAGGTGATCCATACTGAAGCTTCTCCTCACGCTTTCTTTGCCTGATCGAATCGCCAACTCTTTTCTTATGTGCCTCATCCAAGGTTTCATTCATCATCTTGTCTTCCAATGATTTACAGGTCTTCGACTCCAATTCTTCAGATGTTCTATTTCGGGTGAGGGGTCAGGAATAATAGTTTCTTCAGATGCGATAGCATAGTGTAAACTAGCATCCTCACTATAGGTTGCGGAATATCTTTTGTAGAAGATGCTCTCGGTTCATTAGTAATGACCTGAGTCTGCCTCTGTTCCAATTTCGTGACTCTATCTTTAAGCTCAGTATTCTCGGCAGTGAGCTTGGCAGTATCCATTTTATTTTTTCTCTCCAACTCTTTAAACCTGGTTTTAAGCCCAATGCTCTCTTCTATGACCTGTCTTAACTTCAAATTTTCAGCCTTGATCTCATCATATTTCTTTCGAAGTTCAGGAATTTCGGCGTTCTCCTTTCTAAGATTAGTAATCTCGACTAAGAACTTCGAATTTAGTTCTTTCAAAGAATCAATCTTAGACTGTATGTTCATCATTTTTTAAGTAAAATATAGATAAGTTCAAAAGTGATTTTAAAAATTATCCATTTTTCCTCTCTAGTTTGGAAAAAGATATACAGTGACCTGATTGAAGTTAAGATACTATTTCCGCTGTCTATTTTTCTGGCTTCGAGTGATGAAGTCATGAGTGGGGCGGTCACCATACAAAAATTAATTATCGAAAAAAGACCATTTAGGCCTGTTTGCTTTATTAATGCGATATAAAAAATACATGTAAATCGGTCTATCTACCCACTATTTTTGGTTCGATATCCTTCTATTCTAGTTCTTAACTTGATGGCGATTTCTCCACACATGCCCTGTCCTTTAATAATCCGACAATCATTTCCAAAAATTTTTTTACATTCCAATGCAAAGCTCGATATTCTTCCGAGTCCTTATCCAAGGATTTTTTGTTAAATTCGATCGTATAGGCGGATTCGATTGCCTGAGAAATTTCACCAGGACTATGTAGCAGGAAGTGCCAATCCCGTCCAATTGTTACAATGCCATATAGATAATCAAAGTCATCACTATCATCGAGTATTTCAACCCCTGATGAATCGGAAACTCGGTTATCACTTACGCCAATCTCTTCGCATATCTCAGCCCCGGTAAAGATTTAGATACAATATATGCATTAACATACGAACTTTGTTCGACATCCCCACTGCGTGAGGCTTTACTTATCTCAAATCGGTTAGTATAATTGACACATCTTCCAAGAAAGTACTATTGAATATAAATACAGTACGATCCTTATATTAGCAATAGGTAACCTTTACAGAATCATGGTGGATATTAAGCTCACTTGCCGTCTTGCTCGAGAGATTGAAGCTAATTCTGAGAAATTTTATATTGATATTAATTAATACAGATAAAACTGTTTACGAGCTTCAAAAGAAAATTAAGGAAACAAAAGACGGAATCTTTTCTAATGTTAGGCCCAAGGCTTACAACTTCAATGATAAGAGATGATGTGAACGAGGATATGGAGAATCTCATGGATAAGCCTAGCAAATTCTTGGAGGAACAACCTTTTAAAAAAGCTATTAATCTTATCGTTGATTCGCCATACTTAGTCAAGAGTTAGGAAAGTCAGGAAAAAGATGAAGATAATAGCACGACTAACGGGACAATGCAGGATAGAGGAGGACCTGCATTATATACTCTTTA